CAATTTCGAGTTATTCAATTTCGAGTTATTCAATTTCGAGTTATTCAATTTCGAGTTATTCAATTTCGAGTTATTCAGCTTCTAAATTTCAATTTTAAAAGTTTATTCTTCTTATTATAAATCACACATAATTAATTACCTTCAGCATATAATTGAACCCTTTGATGAGAGATTTAAATTATCAAATTTATTATATGCAGCATTTACATGTAATAACGCACATGAACGTTATTTTAAAATTTCACTTTTTTGAAATTGCATATTTGACCAAAATACGCCTATATTGCATCTGAATCTAAATGGTACGATATATTGTATATATCAATTTATTATGTCGAATCTATTATATTCGATATAAAACGATTCGTTATAACGCACGGGTGCCCAAACATTCGTAACATTCGTTAGTAGGCGAAAATACAGTAGAAAATTAGACAAATTACGAATTCACAAAAGGAATCATTTGTTTAAAAAATAATAACGATAACATATATTTTATTTTAGGTGTGGCCCAGGGACATGGTCATTTGATATTGCAACCACGTGAGTATTTTTCAGAAAAATAATTTTGTATATTTAACTTTTACCGCATCATTTTCGATTCTATAATAAGGAATGTGTAAGACGGTGCGGTCTTTTAGTTCTTAATCTTGTAATCCTATTTATCGTTTTCTTAGGTATCCATTGACTGAGATTATTGGAATAGATATATCTTCGCACCAACCAACTCAAATTAAACCCAATAATTTTGAGTTCATTAAAGCAAATGCTCAAGAAAGATTACCATTTGATGATAACACTTTTGATTTTGTATTTCAACGGCTTTTGGTTCTCGGACACACTAAAGAGAAGTGGCCAAAAGTAATAAATGAGTTTGTCAGAGTTTTAAAACCAGGTGGATTCTTAGAAGTATGCTTTTTTGAAAAATTAATATGATGTTTATTAATATTTTAAAATAAGTGCGTTTTTGATCATTTTATTTTTTAAAAAAGTTATGCGAATCTTCCATTCCATTTGATGCAGGACCAGCTACTCAACGTATATGGAATGCCGGTGTGTATCTTAAGGTTAACTAATTGCTTTATCCTTTTATTTACATAACGTCTATTTAATTATCATAAAGAAGCTGAAATATTAATGGAACAAGGAAATGATTTATATGTATATCATAAATTAGATCAATATTTACAAAACCAAGGTTTTTTGACATTTTGTCCAATTTCATAAGATTTTATGGATAAAATTATTATTAATACTTAAGTATTTTCAAAATTAGGTCAATTAGAAAATATTAACAAAGAAGTAAAAAAAGCCTATTTTAGTGCAAAGCACAACAATATTGAATTTAGTAAAGCGGTATGTATTGTATACAAACTTAATTTTTTTAATAAAGTAATCTTAAATAAGTTTTTATAATTTATATAAATTTAATAGTTTATCGATGACATGGTTTCTATAACAAATTCTCTTAAACCTGTCTTAACAAAAAAAATGCAAATTTCTGATAAAGAATATGATAAGTTGGCCAAAATATCAGAAAAAGAATTAATTGAGCTTGATACTTATATTTATTGGGTTCGTGCCTATGCGAGCAAGGTTATTGGTGATAATAATTAAGTAAAAATTATATATTTAATTTTAATTAGAATTTTGCTATTTACCACCACTGGTGATCATCACCGGTGTTGCTATATCTCAAAAATGTACTAAGTAATCAGGATCGGGTATTCTAAGTAAAAATGTTCAGAACCCCCAAAAACCTCACAAAAACTAAAATCGGGACTTTATATTA